TTTCCTTTTCCTTTTCCTTTTCCTTTTCCTTTTCCTTTTCCTTTTCCTTTTCCTTTTCCTTTTCCTTTTCCTTTTCCTTTTCCCTTTCCCTTTCCATTTCCTTTAATTTCTCTCTTTCCTTGGAATATTCACTCATAGTCTTTTGTGCTTCAGATAAAACATCATTTTCGGTAGGTGTAGTATCACATTCATAACACCTAGAAGAGCAATATCATAAAAGTAAGTTAATATTAGAAAGATCAAATAAATAAACAAAAGTGATATTACATACCAAATACTTAAATCTTCAAAATTAATTGAAAGAGCATGTTCTTTATTGTTTTCATAGTGCATTATCGCATGCTTTTTGTCATTACGACCACAATGTGATTCGCAACAAATAAGACAGAGCCAAATAATTGGATTTGTTGGGTTTTCAGCATCCTTTGATGATGCTAAGTCTTCATTTTGTATATCCGCTCCTTCAGTTCTTTCAGAGGTATCTGTCGAACCAGGTTCAGGAGGTGAATTTCCAATTTTTACACCATTCTCATTATCACACCTCTTTTTTTTTTGAAAAAAAAAGAAAAAAAAAAAAAGAAAATATTAAAATAAATAAATAAAAATGAATCATTATATCAAAATTTTTCCGAATCAAAAAGAAAAAAAAAGAAGTTTAATTCAAGTACACACCACACATTTGATATCCGTCAATTTTGGTAATTTCTCTCGAAGGTCTTTCAAATTCACCGCATCAGCATGATTACAACTTGTATTAGGGAACTTATCATCAAAAGAATTATTACAATTACTATGAGAATCTTGGGAACCTAAGTAAAGGTTAATTTAGCAAAAAAAAAACAAAAAAAAAAACGCAAGAAAAAAAAACCACCGGTATCAAAGCTAGATACAGTACTTTCATGCATAGTAACATCGGCATTATTATTATTATTATTTTCAGCCATCTTGCGAGTTCTTCTATTACTTTTCTTTCGTTTCTTGTTCTTCAGGTTCTTTCGTTTTCTATTTTTTTGACCCATACTTTTAAAAATATTTTTTTGGATTTTCGTGTTAAAAATGGATGGACAAAAACTGATAAAGGTGTAACACTAAGCTGTCGTGTGAAGTACGATTATTTAACCAAAAAAAAAGGTCACATGGATACTGAACTAGATAATCAAATAAAAAAAATTAAAGGAAAAAAAAAAACTTTTTTGTTAAAAGAAAGAAATGATTTTTAATCAAAAAAGTTTTTTACCAATATATAATCTTTCTAAAATATTCATTAATTCATTTACACGCATTGATAATGTTCGTCCACAGAAAATCGATAATACACTGAAAGGTAATAATAATGAAATACTCACTCATTCAACTTATCTCATTATATAGTTGATTCTAAATTTCATTATTTGCATTAAATAACAATTTAATCAAGCGGTTCATAACTCAAAAACTTTATCTAGATTGATCACTTCTACAACGACGACAGAGCCATTAACTTCACCACTTCCACCACCTTCGCATTCACTTCCACCATCGAAGTATCCTCCCCACACCCCATCATTCTCGACCACTACAAAAGAATATCTAGATCGTTTACGAGACCAACTTCATTATTATGCAGTTATAGAAATTCGATCACAAAAATTCTTGATAACAAAAAATGATTTGGTCATTGCCCATAGATTACGTGATTTGGATGTTGGGGATGAGATAAAATTAAATCGGGTGTTGGAATTGGGTTCAAAAGATTACACTATTAAAGGTAAGCCTCTAGTTTCCGAGGCATTTTATAATATTAAAGCTACCGTGATGGAACAACCCAAGGGACCTTTTATTGAAATCTTTAAAAAGAAACGAAGGAATAGGCATAGAAAAAGAGTGACTCATAAACAAACTTATACAGTGTTGAGAATCTCTGAAGTTGAAGTTAATAAATTGTTATGATAATGAATTAAGAAAGAAAGAAGGTTGCTTTTCTTAAAATAAATTTTATTGAATAGAAGAATTTATTATCGGATCAATATCATCAAATGGTGGACTTTTTCAAGTAAAATGTAACTTGTAACTTGAAACAACCTTGTCAGATCTATGCTTTTTTTAAAAGTTCTCTTTGTATAACTTCATCTCTTCATTGTAACGTACTTTATCTTTCTGATATGCCTCATTATATGGCTTTTTTTTTTAAGAATAAACAAATAAAAATAATAAAATAATTTAATATTAGCCCGTCATTAACAATAATCGCGAAAAAGAAAAGAATTTCTTTTACGATACCTTCTTTTCTTCTAAACTAAGAGTCTTCCATTGAGTAGCAATTTCTTTAATACGATCAGGTCCTTTTTCTTTATCATCATGAATATGATCTACAACATAATTAATATAGGAAGTTCTAGGTTTCTTAGGCTTTTTAGGATCTTTTATTAATTTAATGCTTTTCTTTGATTTAGATTCCTTTCTACGTCTATTTTCTTGAGCAATTTGGGCGGGTGTCAAAGATTCTAACCACTTTTTGTGAATTTTTACATAATCATCTGCAGACTTTTTCTGTTCTTCAACATAAACCTTCGTGCATATTAAATCAAATTCAATTTGTGATTAATAAATAAGTCAAATCAGAGGAGGTGAACAAAGGCCCGAAAAGAATTCGCTTACTTGTTTCTCGTCAGCTGATAACTTTGACCATTTTTCACCAGCCAACTTAGCAAGTACGGTCACGTCTACTTTTTCTGGAAATTTTGTTCGTTCTTGATGAAAGAAATCACGGTAAAAAAGAGAATAAGCGGTTGGGGGCCTCTTTGGTTCTGTAGGAACAACGGCTACATCATCTTTTGGTATGAAATGGTTTTGACGAGATATAATCGATTGTTTCATTAGAGAATTTCTTTTGAAACCAATATTGTATTATTCCTTTACCTTTTTTTTTACCCTTCTTTGAAGCACTTTTATTTGAAACTTTCTTTTTTGTTTCTTGTGGTTTTGTCACTGAAGCTTTAGCATATTGTCGTAACAAGTTTACACTGATAACACGACTACCAGAGTAAAGTATTGGCGTAGTTCCTAGTATACGCGTTGTTAAAAAGCTTTGTAATAACATGTTTATCTTTTTCTTTTAGGAAAAAACGCGGTTTTTTTGGTTCAGAAAAAAAAATTTTTGTTTGGGTTCAGTAAAATTTTTAAACAATAGAGTTTTGTATCAAACGTCTTTTCTGAAAATGCTTTTACTTATTTTTAATGCAAGTGAAAAAAAAAATTGAGAAAGGCAAAGGTTGTATACCAGGTACCCTGTTTTGCAGTAAATATGAGTAAGTTTCTTATGATAACGGAAAAACCTAAACTTTAAAAAAAAACGAGTCTTTAGTGGTCTTGGGAAAAAAAAGAAACACGGACTTTTTATGTATTAAATGTAATCGAAGTATAATTGCTAAATTAGGAATTGATGACGATTCCTGTGACGTAAACATCACGTGATTTATGTCGCGTCTCAGTTTTCGGCGAAATTCCCAAGATTTTATCAATCAAAAATGATTTTTTTTTATATATTATAACAAATCAAACATTACTATTTAACAATAAGAAAGTGAAATTTTTATTAATTAACGAAAAGATTCTATTTTAAATTTTAATACAAAAAAAAAAAAAAAAAAAATAACAAAAATTAATGCAAAAGAAAATAAATGTTAAACTTTTTTTTTTTTAAAAAAAAAGGAACATTTCAAATCCTTTTTTTTTTTTTTATATATCTATTAACAAAAAATACTGTACTGATTTGAAAAATTTAACCCAAATATATATAATAAAATTTATTAAAATGTAATGCTAATAAGCATTTTTTTTTTTAAAAAAATGAAAAATAATTACAAAGTGAAAAAGAAAATTTTGAAAAAGAATATCGAATTCTCTTTCATTATCTTTTACGAGAAATTCTCTTCTCTTATTTTCTCCAAGACTCCCAGCATCCAATCCTCAATTATGTTATTTATTATTAATTATATATTACATTCTAACCAATTGAGGCCTTCTAACCAACTTGGCCAAGTGAAGTGGTTGGGCGTGAGAACCACGCGGATGAGGAGGCAAGAAGACGTGTTGTTGTAAGTAAAGTTGTTGTTCCTGAGTTTGAACCATGCTATAATTATTAACATTATAATGCATTTGTTGATTATGATGATGAGCAGGTATTTGAACTGGAATCCAATGAATCGGTGGTTGCTGAACCAAATTGAATCCAGTTCTTTGAGGAACAATTGGAACTTGATTATTATAAATTTGAACGGGTTGAACAACTTGGAAAGGTCCTTGACGCTGTTGTTGCTGAACCCTTTTGAATCCCCCACCATAGGAGTATCCGGTTTTCTTCTTTTGTTGTGAATTGTGTTGTTGTTGCTTAGATTTTTGCAATTGTTGATGTTGATGCTGTTGTTGCTGTTGCTGTTGCTGTTGCTGTTGATGCTGCTTTTGTTGCTGCTGTTGCTGTTGTTGCTGTTTTAGCTGTTGTTGCTGTTTTTGCTGTTGATGCATTTGTTGCTGTTGAAACATTTTTTGTTTAACATTTTGAGGGGACATTACAAAATGTTTATTCATTGGTGGAGGAGAAGAAGGGGGGGTAAGAGGAGAAAATTGATGAACAAGTTGTTGTTTTTGTAATTGTTGACACCTTTTCGATTTTAATATTTCTTCGTAAACTGCCATTTTCCTTTCAATAAATGTATTAATTAAGACCAACTTACGTAAATGATTATTAGAATCTTTACGAATTTTTGGCGAATTATTCTGATTACCGATAGATTTAATTTTTACAATGGATAAAGTATAAATATAAGTAAGATCGATTGGAGATGTTGAACTATTATTATTAGTTTGGTTGGTGGCGACGTGCATTTTTAAATTATTAAACAAAAAGAGTGATGAATGCAATAAGTGTAGACGTGAAGTGAGGTATGAAAAGAAAATAAATATTATTAAATAAAATGCAAAGATAACAAAGCCCTGCTTTGTACTATAATATATTTACTTTTGGTATTGGTGAACTATGTAACAAGATTATAAGAGTATAAGAAATAAATAAGAAAATAAGTTTATCCCCCCGATATATATATATATGTTAATATATAAATAAAAAAATTATTATTTTTTTTTTTTAAAAAAGAAAAAGAAAATGTTAAAGTCGTTTTATGTATGTACAAAAAATAAGAAATTTTTTTTTTATTTGAAAAGAAAAAACAAAAGTTTCGTGGCGAAATATCAAATCGATTGAGAAAAAACTTTCCAAAGGGGGTGGATCGAGAAAACACACGGCTTTTTTATATGTTTTTTTTTTTTTTTTTAAAAAAAAAAAATATACTATTCAAAACAATCGATTGTATATTTTTATTATTGTAAAAATATATTATGACATCCATTCCAATTGGAATAGTAACTATAGTAATACTAAAAAGAATGATTTATTGTATTTTTTTGGTCAAAAAATGGGAAGGATAAATTTGATTTTGGACATGATTGACTTTCATGTCAACAAGGTCTAAATTTATCATGATAAAATTAATCACTCCGAGTTTTTTAAACACTTAATAAATTAATTTCTCCTTTTCCCGTTTCTATCGAGATGAAATCAAATTTAAATTTTTGATCAAAAGAATTTTTGTCATCTAAATCTTTTTTTTCGTTTCCCCCCTTTCTTTTGTTGTAATTAAAAATTCTTTTAACAAACAAATTGACCAATTTTTATTTATTTATTTAGACGGATGTGATAACTTGTATAATAGTAAGTGACAAATTTAAGTTTTGGTCCTTCCTTATTTGCAAATATTCTAACCAAATTAGTACATAAAGCCACAAATCATTTACAAAAAGAGTACAATATCTTTTTTTTTTTCATGACTTTTGTATTATTCTATAGGATTGGAAGTAATATAAATATTTTGAATGTAGTGTAAAATTAGAAACGCGCCACAAAAAGGATGAATGGAAATGATATCAAATTTGGAAACCAAAGGGGTTTGATGTATCATTCATATCACGTGCGTTAATAGTTAAAGCAGTTAGTTGCTTGCTCATGCTTGTAATTAATCACTTACATATCACACGGAAAGGAATGCATTTCCACTTTCCTTTTTTTTTTTTTTTGAAAAAAGGAAAAACTTTTTCTTGATTGATTAGAGTTTATTTTTATTTATGTTATTGCCCATTGTTACCGTTCACACAAAATATATTAGGGGTACATTTATCAATTAATGAAAACATCAGATTTTATTGTATTACACATTGTTCCAAAACTGCTCATCGTATAATAAAGTTTAATTAAAATATTTTATTTGAAGATGATTTTTTCTACAATCCCTATCGATAGAGAATGTTTCAAAAGAATTCATT